CAACTTGTATTATCACATGGGCATTTCAAATTGTTAATGGGCTAGAGCATGAACCAGGAACTTGGTCATGTGGTATTTGTCATGTGGTGGATATATCCGCCGGGGTTATTTTTCCGATTGGCTACTTTGCGCAAGGTGGTGGTGCTCTACTATTAAACTTCTGTGACAATTTTATATTAGGTTCATGGGGTTAGGGTTAGGTTTAGTTTTTGATCTAGGGTTAAATTTAGAAATTCGTTGAGTGTAAGATATTGACCGTGGATCAATTGTCGCCGAAGCATGACTGTATCGCACTACATTCTGAAGAAGATTGTCATCTCGGGGATAAATTCCACGAGGTAATATCCTGCAATTATTATATTGGGCTACACGAGGAACACTTACAAAAATACGGCTCGCAACGGAATGCATGTCTGCATCTTTCTTCCGACTGAAGCGCAGAAAGAATGTCTTCAATTTCTCTTGCTTTATTTTTCCATAACTTGCCTCAAAATATTAAGTGAAATAACAAAAACGAAAGGATAGGCCTTTTAACTTACAGTTATCAGTCGGACAATAAACAGGATCAGTAATGCCTGGGTAGAGGTAATAGCCGGCTCCAGGACTTGCGTTGTATGTGTCTGCTTCCCATTCGCTGCACGTTGCACCTGAATAAGAGGAAAGAAGGAACGTCATAAAGATTTATTGTTTACACGTGCACATGCCCACCACCACACACACACATACACACAAACACACGCACGAACGCACGAAAAAATACGATTTTCTTTTTTTTAATTTTTTTTTTTGTTTGTTAAATATATATATTTTTTTAAACAACACAATTATTAGTATTGATATAGTAATTTCTTACACATTTTGGCCTTTTGAAGAAGAGGGCTAGTGTGGTCTGAAGGACAAACTACATAACCTTGGACCGCAGGGTAAGGGGATCGAATCCCTTTCACCTTGTAAAGACTTCTTTTTGCAAGACACCAAACAAAATATGCCACTCTCGTCACAGGTGAAATAAACGAGACATTGCATGAATGCATTTTAGCGTTTTTGTTACTGTATGTCATAATCTTATAGCCGGGCTGGTGACAATAATCAGCACTTAATTTATATCCTTGTAGAAAGGGCTTTATAAATCCAAGTATTTATCGGTTATTGTAACGAAGATTTGCCAAAAATATAGGTGGCATAACAAGGGGCGTCAGAACATGAGGATGCCCAAACATATCATCAAAAATGATTATTATGATGACGATTATAAATAATATGACCGTATTCAGGATGTTAATGGGAAAAATACAATCATATTGACCGTGATGGTAATGGGGATTTGATCGTAAATACTCCAATGGCGCTAAAGATGAAGATAGTCATTGTGACGTCGATGATGACGTCATTAATGTTTAACACAACGACAACAACGATGAAAAAAATAATGGCTAGTGACGATTACTAGTGCTACTTACTATGCTGTACACCATAGAGGGCAACTCTCAAGCCAATACTATTGCCCCATGACTGAGGTGATATTCTGACATAGCGTGCAACGATTGGAGGATTAAACGTCTCCGATGCTATAACATCGACGCCTGACCCGTCGTTGCCTGCGAATAGCTGGAGAGAAGAAGAAAACACATGATAAAGAAAGACCACAATGATTATTCACCTCCAATTAAGTACAATTTAAACTCTAATTGTCCCAGCTATACTTTTTATGAACAATAACAATGTTGGTTAACGCATAAATAAAGACAAATTGGTATAGAAAACTGTCAATGACAGTTGTAAATAGGGAATTCGAAACGTATTCGAAAAGGATTTTTTTTCTGTTTTCGGCCGGATATACAGTCTGATTTCGATTGCCCCCTTGTTGAAATAAATCTGACTTTTGATCTAGTACCTAAAGGATACAAGAGTGCAGGAGCAATATTTTATGAAAAAAACCCAATTATTTAGTGTGTTTTTTTAACACCATGCATACATTGATCTAGGCCGATTTTCCGTATTACGAATTGATTTTTATTTTAGAAAGCTCTCTTTCCTTGTAGGCTTATTTTATAGATATAACATTAACACTCACGGCTTTGATAAAACAGAATATTTGTTTTTGAAGAAAAAGAAATTCATCATTGTAAATAATGAAATTTTACTTACGTAATCTGATCCTCCGTGTTGGAAGGTTGTGAAGGATTCGTCGGTCGCAGCGTATAAGATGTTATAACTCTCCACATACTTATTAACACTGCCATGATGTCCCTGCATCTCAATCTGAGAAGAAAATTGTTAAGGGGGTGGTTTGTTTTACTAGATGAATTTCACAACTTTCATACCTCACCATAATCACAACTTAACTTCTGAATTCAATATGTCTTTCTATTTTTTGTTTAATGTTACTAAGTCCCAAATTGAACAATACAAATAATGTATCCAACTGCTATCTTGAAGATCAACTACATTTATTTTGAAAAGAAATGGTTAGAATATTACAAGCCGATTTTGATGTCAATCTATACTTTATTGACTATGTTTTATGCAAGTTGGTGCTTTTTATATGCATTTGACTTGCGAAAATTGCACCAATCTGCCGTGATACGGCGATTACCATCAGTATCAATAGCCTTAGACTTGAAGACAACGCTCGAAAAATATGTTGGCTTTCAGTGGCTTCTATTTTAATATATGAAGTGATGATTTAAAACAAAATCTAACTTGTACTGATTTTGTCTGAGTGTTGATTAGATAAGCATAACAATTTGATGATCTTTAACAATTTGGATTTTCATAATTTTATCAGAGGTAAAGCAGAGACCGTGTTTCTATCGTTCCGATATGGCTTTAAAAATCTCACCCGCGTGATAACTGTCCCAACAGCGAAGTCGAACTGCAGCCATTCATCAGCATTACTCGTACTGGGCACCCAACATCCTGAATAGAATAGAAACAACAAACAAGAAATTAAAACCACGTGATGGACAACAGTAATGTAATTGTCCATTATGAAATGTGCACCATCTTCTATTAGTGTATGAACACTTTTATGTATAATCCATGTAATGTTTCCCTTTTATCATGTAGATATTCCTTTTAGGAGTTCTTTTGTTGTTGTTTATTTGTTCAATGGGTTATTTTTTAATGTGATCCAAGAATACGGAAAGGTATTTTCTTCATCAGGTACTCATTACGATACTCGAGAGCTAATGAATGAAGACACTGATAATTAAGAATATTACATTACCTTAAAAGTCAGAGCAAATGCGGTAAATATTAATTGTTTTTAAGCTTTAAAAAAAATAAGGGCAAACAAAATTTGGGAGGTTCCGTGCAATTTCTCCCATATGAAATGTGGCTTTAATTCATTTTTATTTTCCATCCACAAATCGTTTGATGTGACCGTTGAAAATTGGTTATAACACCAGAGGAAGCATAAACATGGCCATATAAAGAAAATTTTCATTATTTTTCGTAAAAAATACAAACACTGTTGTCCATATAGTTGGAATATTGTCCTTTACCTATTTTCAGGAAATGATTAGAACGATATTTATTCAATCTTGGCAGGTAAGTTTTGAAATCTCCTCAGAACGTTATTGATGAATCTAAATAATCAAAGAGATTGATCAATGAAGTTCCCGAGAAGACATAAACGTTATCGTCCATGACCTAGCATCGTTTATCCATCCATGAATGATCCTGTTTTCAATCAGCAGATGTATTAGATTATTTTATTGTATTCAACAGAAAACCAACGCTCCTTCTTTCCCCTTTCCTTTCTTCTCTGCAAGTCACTCTCCTGCTTTTTTATTTTTTATTTTTTATTGTTGTATCTAAGTTGAGGGCTGCGGGCACGTCAAGCTACTTTGTTTATTCTGTAGCCCTCCTGCATATAATGTATGTTAATTATGCATTCAATACAGCTAAATTTCGCATACTATCTGTATAAAATTATATACACTTGAAATATTGTATCAAACCATATTATGTTCATGAAAATTTATGATAAAAAAGAAAGAAAAAAAGATGCAGAAACAAATGAATCAAATCAAATCAAATCTATCGAGAATAGCCATATTGTAACAATCGTTCCATGAAAAGAGTTACTGAAAATATTATTCAACAGTTTGGATAAAAGTCATTTGCTGTGCGGAACACGTTTCAAAGAATAGCCCATTACCTGTATTATCTAGAACGCCCTCTGTAGCTTCGTTTCCATTCTTCTCACTTGATGCACTCATAGTTAGACCGCTGAGTGAATCCAGGTCCGCAGGGGCCACATAGGAACCGTCAACTAAAACGAGAAAAAACAGAGATTTAAAGAGAACAACAATAATAAAATACATCGACTATTTGGGAGCGCAAAAAACAAGAAGTACCAAACCCTAAGATTCGAAATGAAGCAAAAAATTATATTACTAAGGGAAGAAGTGTGTTTTAAAAGATGTTTTAAAAGTGGTGAGACAGGTTTTTTCCATGATGGAAGGTGGAATATTGCTCCACGTTTCCAAAAAGATTTAGTTCTGAAGAGACGGGATTTTTTTAATTCTTTTTATAATGATGATGATAATAATAATAATAGGCATTTCTATAGCACCGTCTATCTACAAATTCTATTCCGATGCGCATATATTATTACCCGGCTTTAGCCTAGCTGCCATTACAGCGCTCAAGCATTTCAAGAAATTAATTCCTGTCAGGTACCCATTTACCTCACCTGGGTCGAGTGTGGCAAATGAAGATGAATGCGTTGCCCAAGGACATTAGTGTCGTGTCGGGGTTCGAACCACGACTTTTGAATTTTAAGTCAAGTGCTTAAACCACTCGACTACGACACTTCTAAGGAAGAATATTATACAAAAACGTCCCCTGAGAGGATTGATCTGAACAAAAATATCTTCCTATTCGATATAGCCTACGACAAGAAGCAACCTGAGTTCTAGGGCCAAACTTTCACGCTACAATTTTCTTTTAGTTCGTTATACAATTTTGTGTACACTGTATGTGACGTTCAGCAAGGCTGAGTCGATTTCGTATGGTTTTAATGATTCCGAAAGCTGACATTATACACAAGTTGTTATGTTCTCCATAAACAGCCATTTTCCATTCGTTTCTAGACGGTTTATGTTAGGTTCCCCTACCCCAACTACTCCCTTAAAAAGTGCCTTAAAATGTATAGAACATTTCAACGAGGTTTCAGGGGTGGGGGGAGGGTTGGTGTGACTGTCCGAGTGATATTCAAGGAGATAGTCTGTCCTAGAATTATAAAAAAAAAAAAAAAAAAGATGTCGAGCTAACCTGTTGTTTTGAAGTCCAAAGTTGAACCGGAAGTGTAATACCAGCCATACGTACTGTTTCCGTCATCCAGAAGGTTTTCTGATGCCACAATGCCTGGAGGGAGCGGAAGTGCGGAGGAGGCAAAAGAGTTGAGGAGTGAATAAGAGCAAAAAGAAAACACTTATAGACAAAGAATAATATTTTTAAAAAATGATCGGGCATCTTTTGATAATAAATCAAATAAGGTAATGGTCGTTTCAAATGGAATGTCTTGCTCAAAGATCAAATGAAAAAGAGAGTTGTAGTATTTAGACATCATACTTTGGGGAAAACCCGTATGATTTATTTCAACACGATGGATACTTAAAGAGAGAGACAGACAGACAGGCAGAGAGAGAGAGAGAGAGAGAGGGTCGGTGAGGGAGAGAGAGAGAGACAGAGAGACAGAGAGAGAGACAGACAGAGAGGTGGATGTACATACTGTTACGGCATCCGTAGACTTCCACACGCATGGACAAATCGTCATTATATGTCAGTGGCTCAAAACGAACAAAGCGGACGTGGAGGGCGGTCTCAAAGTAGATGTACTTCACAGTGCCATAACCGGTATTGCCATTAAAGACCTGGACGATTTTTTTTTTAAAGCATGATACAAAACAAAATATATATCATTAGTACCATTGTTACCATGATTATTATCATTATCATTTAAATATAATGATAGAAGCGAAATTATTTATACCTCTCGTTAATTTGATGTTTTTGTGCTTTTTGTAATTGAAGAATGAAAGGCGGACCGGCTGAATTAAGGCCTTTGTTGAATACTTTTAGATTGTAAGCTTTGATATGACACATTCTCAAGAAACATAAGTCATGACAAGTTAATTTGTTCACATACTTGCAAATTACAACATTTTAGGGTATAAATAATTTTGTTGCTAACTGTATAATAATTGTCATCAACAACAACAGCTGTATCATCACCATCATAATGACCGTCGTTATTATCATTCATTTTTGTACTGAGAAATTATGAAAATTTTCGAATTTGTAGAAAATTGTCATTATTCTGCGACATACCTTGTCACCGCTATCTCCTTGTATGGTAGTAAAGGTGCTTCCGTCCACGCTATGGCTTATCTTCAGTGACGTCACATATTGTGCGTAATCGTTCCCCCTGCTCTGCGTACCAACCTAAATCATAGTAAATAAATAAATAAATATATTTGAGGGAGAAAACGAAATCATAGTATAAGCATGGTTTAATTGCGGTACATGTACAATCATAGTAAAATTATGGTATAATCGTGGTAAAATTATGGTATAATCATAGTAAGATTATGGTATAATCGTAGTGAAGTTATGGTATAATCATAGTAAAATTATGGCATAATCAGAGTAAAATTATGGTAAAATCATGGTCTTTAATCATTGTAAAATGATTGTGATTAAATTGCTTCTTTCGATTATGTATGTTTATCCTTCACCACTTTATTTCCTTGTTTCCCCTTCGCCTTTCTATCCAACTCTTGTTTTCCCTCTTTCTCTCTTTCTCTTTTCTCTCCATCTGTTTCTCATGTCGCTCCCTTCTGTATTCTTTCTTCCTCTGTCTCATTGATATCCTTTAACTTCGATGACTTTTCTTTTCTTTCCATGTACACGATATCAACTACGACTACGACGATAACTTAGCCAAGTGACCAGCGGGATGATATCCTTGCCTTGTACTCTCTTCCTCTTCACCCCTCCCCCTTCTCTCTCTCTCTCTCTCTCTCTTCCCCTCTATGTATCTCTCTTTAATTCTCTCTCTCTCTCTTTCACTTCCTATTCCTTATTCCTTCATCATTCTTTCTTCTCTCTCCCTTTCTCTCTTTTTCATTCTAACTCATCGATATCCTTCAACTTAAATTATCATTTTTTCATTCCACGTTTTTGATATCAACGATGACGACGGCGACGACGACGACTTACCCCAGTGACCAGCGGGATGCTGTCGTCGCCGAGATCGACCATAAGCCACTGGTTGGCATCCTTAGTCGCTGGCTTCCAACCGTTACCACCGGACTCCACGTTCAATCGGCCTTTATCCCCGCCGAAGCGGGCGGCAGAATCGCCCGATGTGGTGATCTGTGATTTGGTGATGGTATAGTCTTCCATTCCCAGCGCGTTAGTACAGGTGTCGTAGACTGCAGGATGGGATAGGGCGTAACGAGTGAGGGGGTAAAGGGAGGGGGTAAAGGGAGGGACATTGGTGGAGAAGAAAGAGACAGATGAATCTATAGAAGATGTAGACTTGGATATGGATGAATAGATATGATTTAGCCGTTGGCTGGTCATACAACAAGATACAAGATACAAGATATTTCATTTGGTCTTTGCATTGAATTAATTTAAATTGAATTGAAATTGCATCGAAATTTATTTGAGATGAATTGAAATGGAAATTAATAAACCCAAGTGGAAATTGAACGAAAATACATTGAAACAAATTAATATGGAATAAAAGTGCAATGAAAATTGTTTAAATGAATAACAATTAATTGAAAAGAAGTGAATGGAAATGAAAAGATGAAATTGAATGCTATTTAACTGAATATATTTGGAATAGAATTGAATAGAAATCGACTGAAATTTCATTGAAATCACTTGAAATGATATGAAAATGTATTAACTTTATTGAAAATCGAGATGAACTTACGTTGCTCGGTGATGCGAGTGCAGTACGTGTAGTCAGAGTTTCCATCGCCATCCTCGTCGATGTAGAAATACCCTTCCCGACCATCACAGTCTCCGTCTAAGGGTAGAGAGAATGGGGTGCATGGGTGGTGAAATGTTCCTTACACTGGCAGGTGGTTATCTCATCAAATCAGCTCTCAATTAACATAAGAAAAAGGGCACCATGGGGGCGCTTAGGCATTGTTGGCTGTATAGAGGGCGCAATTAGCTGTAAGTAGTGCAGTGGGGGGTTAATATTTAGTACATGTTTGTACCATAATATTTATTCTGGAATAATTTACCGAAAAATATTAAACATTCTCAATTCTTGAATTGTTCAAATCCAAACTTAAAAAGTACATCCTTAATAATATGTAATATCTCCGGTAATTAATTTACCTTGACTGAAATATTATCATAATTTATTAACTTTCGTTTTGTAATTTTCCAATATAAATCATACGTTTATTACTATAAACATGGGATTATGTTATAAGTTTATCACTTTTTATAATCGCCAACATGGACATTAATCAGCTTTTGTTCTTGTTGATTTTATCCTCCTCTGTTTATTATGTCATAAATGTGTTGAATAATTACTATGTATATTTTGTATAATGTTTTGTTATTTTATTATGGAAATATGGAAATAAATCAATTCAATTCAACTCAACATCTACATGATAATTGCCAATACGTTCTAGTTTGTTTCAACAGTTTTTGTTTTCAGAATCCTACATCTGATGCGAGATGCGAGCGGGTAATCACATTGGTTGAGTTGTAGTATTGGGGTTAACGTTAGGAGTAAGTTAATGGTTGAGTGAATGGTAGAACTTAAAGGTTACTTGGAGAGGTTATTAATTCCTTCGTGACAGTACCCTTAATTGTGTGGTTTGCCGATACTTACATGACGGAGAAAACGTGGTAGCTGCAATGAGAAAAAAATAAAGGAATGAGAAATATGTCAAATTTCTGAAAAAATCACCTCAAACTTAATTGTGATGTTCTTATTATTATTGATCTTGTAGCAGCAAGTATCTACATATACACGTATCAAAATATATCTTCTTTAGGCAGATTAAGTGGTCCACCGTGGTAGGTATTCTCAATATCCAAATTTGAAGAAAAAATCATGTAAAACTGATAAAGGAAGTGATTGAATGACTGAAACCCGGTCCGGTAGTTTTGATCTACATAACACGTATCTTCTTTTCAATTGGGTGAATTTATTTTTCTTCTGTTAATCTCTCTCTCTCTCCCTCCCTCCCTCTCTCTCTCTCTTTGAACTCCTCTTCCTCTATCACTCTTCCTTCTCTCTCACTCTTATCTCTCCCTTTCTTTTTTAAAATTCTGTAGCTCAAAACTATATTCTAAACTAAAACGTTTCTATATGCGATGTACGTCATTGTACGTTATTAATGTTATAATAGAGTTGTCGTAGTCGAGTGGTTTTATCACTGGACCAGATGATCGTGGGTTCGAGCTCCGCCACGGCATTTATGTCATGGAGTAATACATTTGAATATAGACATTGCTTTTCTCTACCCAAATATTACATAGGTACACGCTAGGATGTACGGCAGTGTACAGGCGACCAGCCGGAATATTCCACAGGAAGTGGAGAATGTGCACTGTAATGAGTTTACTCACCTACTGAGTCTACCGTCGGAAAAGCAGTGGCTATAAAAACGAGAAGGGAAAAGTGGAAAACATAACCTGTCTGCCTTCTTGTATATGATAGTAACGACGGTAGTGCAATCATATTCTGTGTTCCAATGACAATAATTCAAATTGTAAGAAGAGGAAGAAGGAGGAGCAGGAGGAAATAAAATACGAAGAATAATCAAATTAATTCCGTGAGATGAACAACAGCATTATATATATGAACATATTCAATTCAATTCAATTTTATTTCATTCAGTTAAAAAGACAACATTTCAAATAACAACCAGCTATATAACATAAAATACACATTAAGAACATATTTGACATTTGGACAACAAATAAACTGAATAGGTTGCAACCTGAAAGGAAAAAAATAATCCTTATATAAAGGTTGACCCTTTTTTTATAATAAAAACAAATGAAATATATCTGTTACTAAACATTATACTATACACAAATCAAGACAACAAACATACATACAACATCAAATAAAATATGTCTTGAATTTAAATGATTATTGCAGTTTATCTAAAAGAAATTTCTTATACCTACGTTTAAAAACATTTACACTAACAGAATTATGAATATAATGGGGAAGAGTGTTCCATAAAAAGGGTCCTTGGAAAATAATAATTTTTTGGTTTAGTACTGTACGAGTCAATGGCAAGTGAAATTGTTTAGCATTTCTAGTATTATAACTATGAATAGTACAGTTTAAAATAAACAATTTGGAAATAGAATCAGGAATAAGATTGTGGTGACATAAATACATAAAAACACCTACTTGTAATAAATATACATCCCTATATTGCAACATGTTTAATGAGTAAAATATTGGATTGGTATGGGCAAGAAAAGAAGAATGATTAATAATTCTTATTGCACGTTTTTGTAATTTAAACAGTCTATCTTGATAAATTAAAGCAGCATTGCCCCATACAATAATAGCATAATGTAAGTAAGGGTACACAATTGCATAGTATATCATTTTGAGTATAATTTTAGGGAGAGATTTCAATCTGTACATGACACCAATACTTTTAGATAATTTGTTGCAGATGACACCAATATGATTAGACCAGGAGAACTTATCATCAATAATAACACCCAAAAACTTTGCTGAAGAAAGTCTCTGAATGTTTACATTACCTAGTTTGATTGTTATTGAGTCTTTATTTAGTTTCTTTTTGGTAAAAATCATAAAATTGGTTTTCTTTTCATTAATGGAAAGTTTATTAGCATAAAACCATTGAACAATTAATCCAATCTCAATATTAAATGTAGTTTCAAGAGTATGTTTGTTTTTGTGTGAAAGGAAAATACTGGTGTCATCTGCAAACAGAATACATTTTAAAATTTTTGAAGCATTGACAATATCATTTATATACAAAATAAATAAAAGGGGTCCAAGAATGGAACCTTGTGGCACTCCACATCTAATTGGCTGTAACTGTGATTTGTTTTTATTTAATACAACAAATTGTTTTCGATTTGATAAATAACTTTTGAATATTGTTAATGTTATACCCCTAATTCCATACATATACAATTTCTCCAACAAAATACTATGGTCAAGCGTGTCAAACGCTTTAGTGAGATCAAGAAATAAGCCAATTGTTGTTTCTTCATTATCTATTGCACTTCCCACTTTATGAACAAAATCTATCAAAGCTGAAGATGTTGAGTGTCCTGCTCTAAATCCATATTGGTTATTATTTATAATATTGCACTTTGTAATAAAATGTAAAAGTCTGGTATAAATACACCTTTCAAAAATTTTGGAAAAAACAGGTAAAACAGAAATTGGGCGATAATTAGACATCACTTCTGGTGGACCACTTTTAAAAATGGGTGTTACACGAGCTATTTTTAACGATGTAGGAAATTCTCCACATTTAAGGCATTGGTTGAATATTTCACTGAGATGTTCACTTATCTTATGTATAATCGGTTTTACTACTTTAATATCTATTTCATCATAACCTGTACTAGAGTTAGGCTTAAGTTTGTCTACAATATCTATAATTTCTTTACTAGTAATAGGTTTAAAAAATGCAGTTTGATCATTTTGAATTACATAATTTTTAAAATCATTATTGCACGAAGAAAAAGAAAGGTTCAAGTTATGACCGATGTTTACAAAATGTTCATTCAATATATTAGAAATTTCCATATCAGTTGTAATATTTTTTTCATTACATTGAATACATTTAATAACAGATTTTTTATTCTGCTTACCAAGAGCCTGATTGATAACGCTCCATGTTTTTTTCATATTCCCTTTATTACTCCGAAATTTGTTTCCATAATACGCTCTTTTCGTACTTTTTATCATATTCGTTACTTTATTACGACATTTTTTATAAACATTCTTTCTATATACAGTGGGATTTTTCAAATATAGCTTATAATATCTGTTTTTCTTTGTACTCAATTTCCGAATATCGCTTGTAAACCAAGGTTTGTCCATACGCTTTTTTTTTATAAGATATACATTCAATAGGAAAACAAACGTTATATGCATCCATGAATTGTCTAAAGAAATCATCATAACTCTTATCAGTATTATTTTCACTGAGATTCCATCGTTGTAATTCCAACAAATAAGCAAATCTACTAATATTATTATCATGTATTTCTCTTCTTTCATAAATTATTTTATCTAAAGTATTTACTACATTTTCGCACAAACAGTAAACAGGAAAGTGGTCGCTTAATTCAGATAAAATAATACCTACGTGGGTTTGGCAAGTATCATTTGTGATAATGTTATCAATTAGGGATATGGAGTGTTCGTTTACACGAGTCGGATATTTCACAAGAGGGAACATGGAATACAACATTAAAATCTCTAGAAAATCATTAACAGATTGCAATTTACCCACCTTAAGAAGATCTATATTAAAATCTCCAATTAAATACAAGGTTTTGTTTTCTTTATTTACAATATCAAAAATATTTGAGAGAGAATCATAAAACTGGTCAACTGCTTGGTCTGGGGGCCTGTAAATAACACCAATTAAAAGTCTGTGACTATCTATTTCAATAAAAGTATTTTCTATATAAGAAGTATTTACATCTAAGTCATGACGTCGCTTAAAAGAAATATTAGATCGTATAAAAATTCCAGTGCCACCTCCTCTTCTATTGCAACGATTATTATTAACAAACTCATAATTATCTAAGTTATACAAAGCTTGAGGTGATGTTTCTGTTAGCCATGTTTCCGTAATACCAATCACTGACATTTGCATATTCAACGAGTTCAAAAATAAGGACATTGCATCATAGTTACAACTTAAACTTCTAATGTTTACATGAAGCAAGGATAGGTTATGATTGAAAGATTTAGTTTTTTTTATATTAAAAATAGATGTGCTAAATTCCTCGGGTGTAAGATAAGTTATTGGTGGCTTACTGATACCATCATGATCTGCCGGTGATAAATATTCATGTAAGGTATCTAAATCAGTATGTTCAAGACATTTTGCAACAAGACTTTGGCAAGACATAACTACACAATACTACAAACAAACAAATATATATATATGTAACAATGAATACAATAGTATAAATACCTAAAAGTACCTGTTAATAATCGGTGGAGAAGATAAAAAAATCCGCTAGAGGAGCCATTTTAGATTTCAGTGTCTGTTTTCAATGTTCATTTCTTGTCCAGCTTTCTTAGATCGTCAGCACTTCTAATGAGGTGCTTCCTTGATTTTCCGTTCTCGCCAGTCACAGCTACGAAGATCCGGCCATCCATTGACCATGCCGATGTCACTATATCAATCTTCTGCGCTTCATGCAGAAGACCACTGTTCCTTGGTGTTAAATCCTCGTGGATTGACTGTCCTGTTCCTTTCAACTTTTTTCTGCTTCTTATGAAGAGCTCCCGTTTTTTGTAGGAACAAAATTTGACAATGACTGCGCGGCCTTTTTTCTTGTTTGTCGGCGCTGATCCAACTCGGTGGCTTCGGTCGATGTCTCCTGTATTGATGCTTACTCCAATCTTCTTTGCAACATCCATGATGATTTCATCGGTACTTTCATTTGGTGTTTCCGGTTTCAGGCCAAAAATGCGAAGGCAATTCCGTCTGGAGTATTGATGTAGGCTATTCATGTCATTGGTTAGGTGTTGTAGACTGTCTTCTTTAGCTTCCAGTTGTGTTTGCAGACGTGTGATATGTTGCGTTCTTCTATCTCTTTCATTTTCTAGGTCCATAATAGTTGACTCCAACTTTTCGCATCGTGTCAGCAAACGTTGGTGGTTATCTGTCATATCATCATTGAGTTTACTCAGAAGCTTTGAGTTGGTCTTTGTGTCGGATTCAAGTTGTTTTATAAGATTTTCTTGTTTGTTGATTTTGTCAATCATATGGCCAAGTTTTTTTTCAACAGCTTCCGATATACAGCTGAGAAAATCATCACTGGCAAGAATTTCCTTGAGCATTGAAGCGACCGATTTAGGAGGCATTGTGTGTAAAGAGAAGCAAAGAACGAATCATTGAACAACAACAATACAGGTTTGCCTACTAGGCAAGAGAGCAGCGACAGCGAAGATCAACGTCAATCAATGTCAGAGAAGCGAAGAACGAATCAGTGAACAACAACAATACCGGTTCGAATGTCAGTCAAAAGAGCAGCGACAGCGAAGATCAATGTCAATCAATGTCAATAACGAAAGCAGTACACATGGAATGGAGTAGATGGGACTCAACAAAATTTTACTTACAAAATCAGAGTTTGCTTCAAACGAATGTCAGTCAAGTTCCAACGTTTATTTCAATTAGTGCTCCAAAAATATGCGGCAGAGTAGTCCAGAGTTTAATACGGCTCTGGAGTATTAAAAGGGTGTGATACACCCACAGTAAGGGCCTATGGATAACCAAGGCGCATTATTTATTTCCATATATTGTATGGCCTATTCAGTTCACGAATCACAGTTTAACAGCTTATCTATCTGATGTTTTAAAAAAACTGTTAAAAAATGCGTGTGTTAAGGAGTAATTAAAGTGAAGATCAAATTATTTTTTGACAAAATAAAACCGGAGGCACCAATGCTTACAGCAAGGGACGGTGCTACTACATGGTGAATGGGCAGGGGAGAGGCAAGGGGCGGGATGGGGTGGTTGGGGGGGACGGGGTGGGTGGTGCTACTTACGAACATGATCGCCACACCCATAGACTTCCACGGCGAGTGCTATATTATTAGTCCAACTATCTGCGGTGAATTTCAGATAGCGTGCTGTCATAGGGCTCTGGTATAGGTACAGCCTGTCTATATCTTGAGGCTAAAAGGATGACAATAGCAGTAGCAATAATATAACTATTATAAAAACAATAATAATAATGATAATAATTACTATTATTATTAGTAGTAGTAGTAGTAGTAGTAGTAGTAGTAGTAGTAGTAGTAGTAGTATTGTATTAGTCATAAAAACAATAGTAATAATAATGATAATAATAATAATAATGATAATTATGATAATAATAATAATAATAATAATAATGATAATAATAATAATGATAATGATAATGATAAGAATAATAAATAACTAATGATGATAAGAATAATAATAGCACAATCCGGCCCCCTCGGTGGAACAGCGCCACCATGTTGGTGGATGCTGCATGAGTAGGGCCATCCAGCCGTGTACATGTTGTGAATAGGGACTTTTAGATTTGCGTGGACTGATACGTTTGACGTCCATTTAAGGCAGTGCATTAAAAAGACGTCGATCGTAGCAATCCACGTTGTTGTTGTGCAAATCTAAAAGTCCCTATTGTTTCGATTATTGTACTTCATTTTATACGGAAATAAATTCACAAATGATAAAGAAAATAATAACCATTGTAATATAAAATAACTTAACTTCTGTATAGTCCAAACGAGTAATATATCTAGTATTAAAGATAAAGTTGAGTTCTGGTCATGTGATTGCATTGTGAAAGAAACGGTGTGGAATCTATCAGAAAAGGTTGATCATCTAGTATATAAGTATTCGTTTGTATTGCAAGGTTCTGGAATCATCAAAATGATAAGAAATTTGGCCAAATCTTGGCAAAGTTACAAGCACTGTACACAGAATGATGTATATGGGACTACACGAGCACATGGCGAAAAAAACCTACCCCCCGATTTTTACATATTTTATGTCATATTTAGAATATGAAGGCATTTGAAGAGCCATGCTTTTCATGGAACATATGTTTAATCTGATGTTCTTCCACCCTTGCGTAATAACAATGTTACGCTCACAAATTATTTTTTACCTCTTCCCAGAACTCAACCTTCTCTTTAAACATTGTTAAACATAAAAATACTTTATAAAATAGTTACAATGAATTATTCGTGTTAACTGACCTCTTCGAATTCAGTTTGTGGGGAATAATTGGAACCGTCTGTACTGTATGTGACTAGAAATGTATCTAGGCTGGAACTGGAATCTCCTCTCGTATTGAACTGAAAAAGAAACAAATAGCAAAAACAACAACATCGGTTAAGGTCTGTGCACTTTACTTAGATATACGGATGCAGTGCGGTATGATACTCGTGATTTTGGCGACATGTTAACAAAAGCTCTAAAAAGTCATGTTGATGTGACTAGAAGTGTGTCCTAATGTCCTTTAGCAAGGCATTGATCTCTATTTGCCACTCTCCACCCAGGTGTCACCTGGTACCTGGTAGGATGCGAAAGCTAATGTGGTTAGATTAACAAGTGTGCGCTTGTGAACATGACGCCTAGCTGGAATGCTTCCCAGGGAGTGGAGATTGTGCATACATTGTGTGCGGGTGAGCCTGAATCCGATGACCGGGGTAATAATATATATCTGTAAAGCGCTTTGAGAGGGACTGTGGTCCTGAAAAGCGCTATATAAGAACGAACTATTATTATTATATTGCATTGAGAAACAGAAAGAAAGGAAAATTTTATTTTATGTGATTTGATTCTTACCCCTGATATGAAAGTATCTGTAGTGAAGTCTATTTGTAGCCACTCATCATTGGCGTTGTTACTCGGCATCCATACTGGTCATGAAAAAGATGAAGTAAAGAGAAAAAAAATTGAACGCTCGTTTAGTTATAAAATAAGGTTACCACTTGATAGGCAGTAGTTCTAAAGGTGAGTTAGGGGGTTAATTCCCCCTCCCCAAAATAACAAACCCTTGCTGCCCCTTTAAATTCTTATTTATACATTCATTTAAACAAGCCACGTGTAGATAACAAACGCAAAACCCCAAAGAAATGAACGTATTCTTTTATAGTGAAATGGAGTGAAAAAAGGAGTTTAACTTTAAACACAATCGAAGGGAGTTAAAACGGAGAGAACGGAACGTTTATAAACTTGCGGTCAATGAACAGTTGTACAGTTTAGATGAAACGATCGCAAAGATTTTCGAAAAAAATCACACTAATGCCTTGTCCATCTTGCCCTTTCCATCCATCGAATTGCATTTCAATACCCTAGTTTTTGTTCTCGAAATTCTTTGCGATCGTCTTGTTGTAGGGCCTACTTGATATTTTAATGAAATGACGTACCTCCCGACTCATCATATCTCGCTTTCCAGGCGTAACTGTTGCCCAGATTTGAGGAGGCGCTCATTTGCGAGTCGTCGATGTAGCCGTTGCCAACTCCCAGCGGGCTAGTACAGTCCCAGAAAACTGTGGGAAGAAGAACCGGCCAAAACATTCTATAAATTGTCAACTTCCACTATCACAAGTCAGTGACACTGCCAGACCGGCCCCACCCGCGGGACGTGAATTTGCGCCCCGGGACACCCCCCCCCCCTTAATGGCTAATAATGAGCAATGGAAGCAACTCAAGATGATGCATTTTTTTTGTCGGTCTATCGTCGATCTTTTATCGGTCTTAGATACCTTAGTATTGTATTCCTGGTCCTGCCAATGAACCATCAGAACGGCGTTTGTAATGACTGTTTAAAAGTGTCTTTTGTTATGAGATAATGCTTGAAAACACTGGTGAGCTTTTATTTCATCGATTCTCTCTCTCTCTCTCTCTCTCTCTCTCTCTCTCTCTCTCTCTTCACCTCTATCTCCCTCCCCCCTCTCTCTCTCTATCATCCCCTCTCTTTCCTTCACTCTCTCTTACGCCATATCTCTGAATTAATGAATAAGCGAATTTACGATATTATTGATGAATTAAGAAATAACTAAATAAATACGCAAATAAATAATAAGCGAAAAATGAATTTAAAAAATAAAAATAAACACATAAATAAAGTAATGAATGCAAATATAAATAGGCCTATACATGAACAAAAATAAATCAAAATAAGCAAATAAATCACCAAATGAAATTAACTTATAAATGAATGACTACACGAGTAGATTAGTAAAGAGGTAAGAAAGTACAAAAGTAAATAAAGGAATGAATTAACTTAACCCACCGTCGTTTACTTGGTCGTAATAGCAGACTGATACATTGTTGTACTTGCTGGCGTAGTACTGCAGAGCCCTAGATCCGCTGGACCAGAATAGACCCTCCAATGCCTGGTAATCAGCGTCCAAATAAGCCCATTGGAGACAGGTCCTCGCTGGAAGTAAGATAACAAATATATTTTGATGAACTAATATAAGTTTTAAGAAATATTCAGGAGTTTTGAATGAAGTACAGAATACATATAATATGATGGAGATATCAATAATAGTAATAATATTGATAATGATAACATTGATAATGATAATGATAACAACAATAACGACAATTATAATTTATAATAATAATAATAGCAACAATAATACTATACTATAAAAATAAGAATAGAATAAATGATAAAATAATTGAAACATCAATTGATATTGATAATCATGATACAAAATAACTCTACTTTTATAAATACTAATGTTACTGTACTTCGTCTACTACTACTAATACTACTACTACTACTGCTATTACTACTACTACTATTACTACTTCTACTACTATTACTACTACTATTACTTCTACTATTACTACTACTATTACTACTAATACTACTACTTCTAAATATTTCATTACCTTGGTAGCAGCCGTACAATTCAAGTCGCATACTCGGTTTATTGCTATAGGTGATTGGTATAATCCTTATTTTGCGAGCTATGATCGCCTTTGAAAATGTTTCATCCACCGTAGTTCCTCCCACAGTAACTCCATCAAATACCTGAACGAATGAAAAAAATGCAATATTTGTAGTTATAGTATTTCCGATTTCAAATATATAGCTCATGTATATACAGCTTACTACATTATTTGGACAATAATAGTAGACTACGAGAAACACACGGCGATGCAAGTGAGTCAGCAGGTGAATAAGAAAAATATTTCTACCCTTCGAGGCTAAAAACGCCATCCCGTAGCATTGTGAAAACATATTTTTTTAATAGTTATTTACGAGACTGGCAGCCCACTTTAATTTGGAAACCTTTTTGGGTGCAATTTAGAGCATTTCAGATGCTAAGCAGAGCTTAATATGCAACTTTGATTCAATCTCTTTTCATGTTGACATTTTTTCTTCTTCAGAGTTTCCAATAAAGGGGGGGGGGGGGGCAACCAAATTGAAAGATGTCGTCCTTTCCCACACTCGATCTGCTATACTATTCAAACTATTTATTCATTCTTTTTAATTGATTATGACCTGCCTTTCAACGTGACAGGGTTAGGTTTGGGGAGGGGGGGGGGGCTCTAGCATTTTGCATAGGGTTTACAATTCTGAGGGCCAACTATGGAACAGAGGCTCAAATCCGCGAACATATGTTTTCGAACACACCTCAAAATTATACAATTTTATTCCAAGTTGCTACTCAAAGTTGATTGATTGATTGATTGATTTTATTCGCCAAGCCTCCAACATACAACAATATAAAAGAATAACAGATCAAAATTAAGTCAGCTTGAACAGGATAACACACGAAAGCCCGAGAGCTTGTTTTCAGTAGGGTCCCCTATATACATGCACATAATTAAAACTTAAAGTCGTATTATTTACAGACAGATGAAGAAAAACAACTTATTTAAGATAATAACATGAAGTGATACTATCGAGAACGCCCCCCCCCCACCCCCTCATAAATCCGGCCATTGGCCCTATCCGGTCGATACCCTTTTTAATTCCAAATTAATATTTAATTTCTTCATTTTTTTTTTATATCAACCAAAGTAATACATGTATGCACGCTTAATGACATTATAAATTTAAGCACCAGTTTTAAAGGTATAGACCAGTTCTGGTCATGCGATTGCATTGTAAAAGAAACTTTGTGGAGTCGATCAGAAAAGGTTGATCATTTAGCATATAAGTATTGGTGTGTACTGCAATCATAATGATAAGAAATTTGGCCAAGTATTGATAAAGTTACAAACACTGTACACAGAAAGATGTATATGGGATAGATATGATAATTTACCAAATATATCAATTAGTAGGCGGTTTCTCGGCAAAATTTGTATCATCACGTATATTAGTCAAAACATATTCTTTCACAATCATGATTGGTAATAAGAGCTTCCATTTCATTTTTTGAGAGGAGGGGAGGGGGGGGGGGGGCGTTTCCAAAACTGGTCTATACCATTGAATACAAGGGAGACGGTGTACTTTCTAGAAGGGTATTATGCTTGAGTGGGATTTGCCTAATAACAATACAATATGAGTATATAAGAACAAAACAAAGAATAAAAGAAGAAGAAAGGAAAAAACAGAAAGAGGAAAGGGCGCAAGAGTAAAGAAGTTTAACTTACCGTTGTAGAACCGCTTTCCTCATAATCGACGAACGTAGAACCATCACTGCTGTATTGGATGGAGTAAGTTAGAATACGCTTGTCTGTTTCGCCATCAGCCATCCTACCTTGGATCGTGAGCTGGATACAAAAAGGTCAAAGGGTGAAATGTCAAAGGGCAAAGTACTATCATATATTGGTAACGAATGTGATATCACGATGTTTGATCTTTCTCTCACGATATCGAAATATATTTTACATATTAACGTTTTTTCATCTTTATTTTTATTCCAAAAATATACCGGGTCTTTCAACCGAACAAATAATGGTGAACAAATAGTTTGTACGTTAATCTATGCAAATAAATATGTTGGGTAATATACAGTTGTGTAACAAAATGACTTTAAGCATTAAACTTACTGAAACGAAAACTACATGAAATTATTTTGAAACTTGCATTAAAAAAAAGTAACACTGCATGTACATCAAAGCTACATCATTTGATATTTGAAATCCCTAAACATGACAACAGTATGCCTACATTCTTAAAGTCCACCCACAAGAGTTCCTTACCTTTATAATAGGAAGCTGAAGTAAAAAAAAAACATTAAAGAGCAAACCGATGGGATCACACGTAACTTATGGGCCATTTTCAATCATTTTGTCCCCCGGGGGAGATACTCAGATTTGGTTTGGACGGAGTGTGCTGCTCAAGCCTCGAAACCCATACCCATTATGAGGGGTAAATTTCTTTAAAAAAGACCCATTTTCCACAATTTTCGGGTGTATTTTGGAAATTTTGAAAAACGGACCCATTTTTAATGGTATTTTTGTTAAAAGTGGTACCCATGTTTAGGGATTTTTGTTGTAGAAAAAAGCAACCTATTAGAGCGGCGAACCCCCATATGTCCTAATATGTGAGTACCCCCCCCCCCCCCCCCCCCCCCCACTCTACCCGGGTTTTGTCCCCAATCAAATTTAAAAAAAACATTATCAGACTTACCCCTGTAATAACAGTATGAGCGAGAAGATCGACTTCGTACCAAAAGTCATCGGAATTCGTCTTCCCCGCCCAATACAGCGACAGATCTGAAGAATGAAAATGCGTGGTTTGAAAGAATTTGCCGTCCATTTTTATCATTTTATGTACTTTAATGTATAATATTCTGCATAAACAATGTATTCGTTTTTTGATTGGTTGAGAGCTCTTCACGTGATAAGAAATAAACACACTTTTTTTTTTACAAACAATTACTATTTACGGCTAGGATTTTTAAAATTAAAACTGGTGCCTTCTTATTACGCTATTTAAAAAAAATAATATGACCTATATTATATAGGGTTACCCAAATTCAATTTTATTGTTTTGCAATGTTAAAAACAAATAGAGAAGCTAAAAAATATTCTGTTGGTGAAAATGCTAATGTTAATGGCATCGTTAAAAAGAACTAAGCAAGAAAACAAATAAATAAATCATCCTAAGGGAAGCGACTTTTCAATCTAAAGAAAAAAAAAACTATCGCAAATTCTTAAACATCAAATCAAGGGCAATTGGGTTCAGGGGGTGTTTCACAAAGATCCTAAGTTGAACTTATCTCTAAGTTGGACTGAACAATTATGGAAAGCCGTTAGCATCTTTGAAAATATTTATTTTTAAGGGCATAAAATGTTGATTCAAATCATTCATATTTTCTATTATCATGGGAGATTTCATGTTCTTGATGAGGAATTTATGACAAGTCTAAAATACTTGAATTTTTGCTTTGGAATATATTTTGTTTTAAGGCTTCAAATGGCTCTCCATAATTCGTCCCTGTTTTCACGAAGTGACGGTAGAGCGCGCAACTAAAAGAAAGTTAGTTTTGAATAAATCGCTTTCAAAGGTTCAAGCCATAATCTCAACCTCTTTAATTTATCAAAGGCAAATAAATTTTATATCCTGGGATAGAAAATATCTCAATGTTTAGTTCTATCTTTAAATATTTCCATTATTTCTTATATTTTTTGAGGAAATGAGCTGTAAACATTACCGTCACTTCGTGAAAACACGAAATTCAAGGACGCGCTGTGATTTTGTTTTCACGAAGTGACGGTACGTAGCCGCACGCGTAAAACATATGGGATTTTTCTCTCGTGGATGGAATTCTCGAAATGGACACTAAATACGGCAAAAAGTTATGTTTAATTGATGTACAGATAAAATAATTCGAACTGTGAGAAAGAGTACATTTTCCTCTTTCTGTAGCTGCTTTTTCATTTCTCTGTGTGAACTGTTAACACATCCGTCATTTCGTGAAAACACAAATTGCATAGAACGCTTTGAATTTTGTTTTCACGAAGTGACGGTACGTAGCCGCGCGCGTAAAACGTATGGGACTTTCCCCTTGTGGATGGAATTCTCGAAATGGACACTAAAAACAGCATTATGTTTTGTTTAATTGATGTACTGATAAAATAATGCGAACTGAGAGATAGAGTACATTTTCCTCGTTTGGTAGCTGTTGTTTTTTATTGATAAGAATAAACCGAATGTCTCTGTATGAACTTTTAACTTAACCGTCATTTCGTGAAAACACAAATCACATAGAACGCTTGTATTTTGTTTTCACGAAGTGACGGCTCGTAGCCGAGCGCGTATAAAACATATGGGATTTTTATTGTGTGAAGCAATTTTATGAGATAGACACTGAAATACGGTAAAATTACTTGTTTAATAGATGTTAGGATAAAATAAGAGCACCTTTTCTTCTTTGTATAATTATGATGTTAGATGTATGATGTCAGTTTTTGTTCACGAAGCTACGGCTCACAATAAATTAACTATCAATAGCACAGATAGATATTGGCACAAAGTGCTTTTAAAATGATTAATAAGCTATTCTCTTTAATCTTAAGCTAAAAATGGATATGTATTTAATATTCTTTGAGGTTTAATTATCAGGTATATTGTATGTAGTAGGAACTAAAGATTGCACTAAAGTTACTATATACTTTCCACTTTAGAACACGTTCAAGTAGTCTCCCCCTCTCTCTCTCTCTCTCCCTCTCTTTACCCCCTCCATCTCCCTTAATATCACACAAATTCTGCCATTTCTTGTTGAAAATCATGCGGGTGATATTAGGGCTTTTGCTACTCTATTACTATGAGGAATTTCTAAAATGTTAGAGAGGGGCCTAGCTAAATATATGTTTTCATATAGGAAATAAAGCAAATATGTTAAGAAATATTTTTGAATGAAGGAAAAAGATTCAGTATTGATCATTGACCATAATCTGTAGTTAACTACTCAACTCTGCAATATAAACACAGAAAATGAATTTTGACTGAGCAGTTTTAATTCAAACATTTGGAACCAGAACAGCAAGTGGCAAATGGAGAATAAATTAAAAATATTAAATAATTCATACCAAACATATCATCATCAATTATCATCAATACTATATTGCATTTTGAAATTTACATTTAGAATTTTGTGGAAAAGACTCATCAGGTATACAGCCACGGAATACAAAGGTTATTTAGCACATTATACAGTACTAAATATGCTAAAATGTCTTTAACTTATTCTTCATAATGTCCTGGTTATCATGTTTATTCAGCAATCATAGCAAATAAATGCCACATGTGACATACAAAATGCTTGACATACATGTACTACATGTATGATTAAGTCAACAAAGAAATAAATCTATATTCAAAATACCATTCCAAAACAAAATGAATAAGACATTTTATATCATTAGCATGCTGAAATATACTGGTTGCTAAATAAACTCTTTTTTTTTAAAGGTTCATCTGCACAGATTTGTTTACCTGAAGACAAAAGAGGTATTCAAAACAGTACTGTGTGGTATAGTCTCTTTCTTGCACGCCATGGTTATCCTGTTCTGGCTGAAAGGTTTACATGTTGATCGTAACAAAACGAGGCAGTTCTTGAAAAAAAAGATGGCACAGTTTTCTTCAATGGGAAATATGACTAATATAATCATAATCATTACTTTTTTGTTCATTACTGTTTTTCATTAATATCTTGTGAGTAGAGTTTCAGAAGCAAGTCAGTTTACACAATCTCTTTTTAGGGTATTTCAATAAAATTTAGTACACAGTCTCAAACGCTACAAAGTTTACCAATGCTAAAAGGTTGTCTTCACCCAGGCAAACATGTAATCTCTGACTAAACAATTATCAGCTGAACAATGCATGATAAACATGGAAATATCAATTTGACTAAACAATTTCATTTCTCATCAAACAGATAAAATTCAAAACAGCAACATTATGATTATATTGTATGATTATACGATAGTTTGAAGTACCAAATACAATTATGATGAGAATGACTATAGAAGTACAAATAAAAACATGTGAACTAGTAACATTGTGTTTTGAAAGAAAAATCAATTGTGGAAATCTAACTTATATTCATGTTCTAATGAAGGCATCAACCCCTGTGAAATAGATAAACAAATTCCTCAATACAAAGATACGATATGAGGATTTATGGAACTGGAATCAAAAACTCTAATATGCATTACTGATTGAGGTAGGTATACCTGATAAATAGCTGTTCTGAGCTATACATTTGAATAATAAAGATTTATGTGTGCAGGAGTTCATTGCAATACTGTAACAGAAAACTGACACCTGTACGACTATTCAGTTCATTGTTTCAGAAATCATGGACAATGTTACCAGTTTGCTTTAAAATTAAATCAATTCATTGATTTTATAATCAATCCATTTCATTGCGATTACAACACACAATTACAATTATGAGTGGAGTTTGCTTTGTTTATGATATTTAAAATGTTTAAAATAAAACAGTATAAAAGAGAGATTGAGGTATTGAAACATTGAAGCATTGTCAAAACGATCATGTAATTGATTCTAGTTTCTCAAGCATGCTCTTCAACAACAGTTCTTCAAGTTTCTTCACACGTATGTCATCCAAGCAATAGTGGTTGAAGCAGCGAAGATCCTTCATCTAGACTGCGTGAAAGCAAAAGGAAATAAGAGAAAGAACAATCAATAGAAAACCATCATCAGAATTTCAATTATGAAAGGGAAACTTTACAGTGCATTATGATTGGGCGAAATTATTTTGTGTAGTTTTGGTACCAACTTTTAAAGAGGCTCTTAATGAATTAAATACTTTATTTGGTATCACCTTAGTATTGGCAATTTTTGTTAAGGATTAAAAAAAAAATTAGATGCTGACCTCGATAGGACCACTCATTCCCTTAACTAAGGGACCTAAGCATTAAAAGCAATTAAGAATATCTAAAATTTTAACTATTGGGTAACAATCAAGAAGGAAAGAAGATACCTTTTGACTCGCTCAGAAGCATAGACAATGGGTCATCATCAGAATCGCAATCGGAGCCGTCAGGAGACTTTAAGGGTCACTTTGCCAAGTCACATTCTCCAGCTCTGTGTTTAGTGAAGTATCAAGGACCCATCTTACCAGCATGTCGGTCCCTGTATCCAATCTAATTTTGTAGAATGAAAGAAATAATTACAATTTATTTTCTTTCATTTATTTGCAAGCAGAGGTAAGGAAATGAATCCAATATTATCTTTTGTACATCAAATTAATTACTAGGCATAACTGACCCCAAACAGAAGTTTTCAATTGCCCCTATTACCCCAAAATAGAATTTTCCAATTGTCCCTACCAAACACAACCACCCCAATGCACATACGCAGTGAGTGTGCTTAGTACTTTGCTGCTAAAGTGTGATTTTCTTGAATAGATCATGAAACTATTCTCACCTGGATTTGTTTCTGGCCTGTGGCATTCTTGAAAAGTAGATGTACTTTCCCAGTGCTTCCTTCATACAAGTGAAAATTGTATCTACTGCATCTGAAACTAAGTGAAAGCAAAAACATCATCATAATGTCATTACCACTGAAGTGTAGGTACTGGTAGTGAGACATGTACATCATCTGGTATGGTGCTTGCTTGGAAAAAAAAATTAAAATACGAAGTGGAGTTGGGCAACATTTGCTGGTATCAAGAACAATTGTTTAAAATAAATGTTGTATAGGGTGAGGGACCAAGGGTACTAAAGTGCTGCCTTTGAATATAACAGACACAGAGTACAGATAATGAGAGAAACTAAGCTTAACATGTAGACATTGTTCCCCAAAAGGTAGACTACTCATGATTACTTCAGTCTCAAAACAAAAGTATTCCTTTTTCGGATGGTGCCATTTATTCATTTTCAGGGCAGGACTGTATCTAATTTCCAATTTTTAATTAAATGTTCATTCATGTCCTTCTTTGCTTGTAAGGCAAATCATTGAATTCCCTAACATCCCAGGTCATCTCAGCTCAGCATGATGATAATTTTCATAACTCCCTTTTCCCTTGGCCATGTTGATGTTGGCCTTGGGCTTGGAGCCCTGAAGTCTCTTAAACCCCAGGCACGCCTTACAAGAAAGGTCTCAGTCTGGTCTAGATCCTGATCTACTCACCTCTAGTCTAGATTCTAGATTGATGAGAAGTGGCTGACATAAACTGATAATTATAAAATGATGATCTAAAGTAACTAGAGTTCTAGACTCTAAAACAAATTAGCTAAATAGTAAATTACTGAAAAAATAAAAGTAAAGCTCTACTCTAGAGTCTAGCCTAGGCCTAGATCTATCTAACTTTCTTTCTGTAAAACTTTGTTCAAAATTATAACTTAAGCAGATATAAAAAGAACCTAATAGCATTAATATTTGGTGTGGAGCTAAATAAGAAAGACTCTCCACTTAAGTTATTTAGTCTAGATGTATATTTGTTAAGACAGTCATAAGTTGATCTTTTTAGTTTTGGATCACATGATACATCACTCCTTTATTCGCTTACATGAAAATAAGTATATGGGGCGATATGTGGAACGGCGGTGTATTTTTCACACATTTCTGTGCTCATGGACATATTTATGGCTTACAAAGAATCAGAATGAATCAAAAGAGTGTACCACATTAATTTACCTTTAAAAAACATTTAAAAACTCACCTTTACATGGTCTGTGACTGTTCCAAACTGCGAAATTTTCACTACCGTCACTTCGTGAAAATATTAAAAGCAGGAAAAGAGCAAACGATGTTTTCACGAATTGACGGCTGTTAAGCGCGTACTTGGCCGTCACTTCGTGAAAACAGAAAATCCTTTTGCTAGGTATTTTCTTGTTTACGTCATCGTCATAGTGACATAATTAGACATTATTATGATCTGAAATTTTGTGAGGTTCAAGGTATTAGTGAATGATGTCCAAAAATGCAAAAAAATCAAAAGTGAAAATATGTGCGATTTTCCTCACTACCGTCACTTCGTGAAAACAGGGACGAATTGTTAAGTCTAACTTAGAGTTCAGTTCGACTTAGAATCTTTGTGAAACACCCCCTGATTACACAATACGTAATAGCTCTATCATTCCTTTATAGACAATGCTATTCAAAATGTCTCTTTGGTTGATTTCTCGAAAGTCTATGCGATCGTGCCGGAAGCTAGCTAGCTTACCACTCGAAACTATTCTTCCATTTTCTGCGGGACCGACGTTGTAGGCGTGGTATGCAGAGAGCTGACTGTCTTCGATGAAATAGTTTCCCATCCCGAGTGCGGCCTCGCCCTCGTCACAGCTCGGCGTCACCGAGCCGATCTGCGCCTGGGTGACGACGATCATGGCTGCGTAGATGATGACGACGACGAGCACCGCAGGGGAAGAAAAGAGCTTCGTCGAAATCATGATCGCTATGTGGGGATATAAAAGATCATTCGACAGTTCAATTTTGGTTGAAATTCACATGGTGGTGATCATGAAACGGAATTTGGGTCTATTTTCCTGTGAGGTGTCGTGGTTTAGTGGTTCTTTCTATTGACTCTCAATCCAAGAGTTGAGGGTTCGAATCCCATGCCGGCACTAATTAAAAGTCCTTTGGCAAGAAATTAATGCATGTTGCCACTGTCCACCACGTGTAATTTGTTAGGCCTACCTCGCAATTTCAGCTCTAATAATATTGTACTACCTGAAACTCTTGAACTATCTTCTTTCTCTGTTTTTGGAGATATTTTCAACATCTTAATAAGGCGAGTAAATCTTGCTAAATTCTACAACTGAGAAGTGCTTCTAGTATCAAAAAGTTCTGTCATGTCCAAAGCACTTGAAAGTTTAGTCTTACAAAATGTTTTAGGTAAATATAAGCATCTGTCCCTTTGAAAATATGGACAAACAAATATATAATCAAATTTATCTCCTATATCAGTGGACAGGCAGATCTGCCTTTTGCGTTTACGAAACGCACTCTTGAATACAAACTAAGCGTGAGCACATTGACGCAAATTCCTCTCCTAACACTTTTAGTTGATTTTCTCCTTTTAGACCATTCGAGATAAATTAAAATCTAGAATATAAGCAAGTATTTCATCCTTTATTTTAAAAAGGGATACAAAATAGCAATGGTTATAGAGTCATCGTACGCCACTACAACAGTTTAAACGGTATAAATACTAACTAGGTATTCGCCAAAAGGATGACGCAATAGTCACAATACAAAAACCTAAACTGTCTAAACTTACCTCAATAAGGATCAAACTTAACACAGTTTTCACCTGTATTACTTCACCGCTCGTTTCAACAATTATTTCAAACTTTACACATGGCTGCTGTCATGTCTATAACTTTGTGGAAAATGACGACGAATCTGCACAAACCGTCGTTTCAAGAAAACAAGTACGGTGTCCTGCCCGCGCTTCACTTGATAGGGAGCATCTGAAGCCAGTAAAAGAAAATGGCGAAATATTGGGTTGGCACCACAAGAAATATTGATCCACGAAGCCCCCACCTTTGAATAAACTAATCGATGATGTGTTAGAGAAGAATAGGAATATTGGCATAGTTTTAAGAACAGGCGGGAGGGATTAGGGTTTATTTCGATTACTTGCCGACCGTTCTATTTGTTGCGAGGACTTTTGTGAGGGGGTATCGATTTTACTTTCTCGATCTCACTTCCTTACAGCTTTCTTGCTGTTTCTCATTCCTCGTCCCCGCCCCCTCTCTTTCTCTCTCTCTCTCTCTCTCTCTCTCTCTCTCTCTCTTTCTCTGTACATCTCTCTCTCTCTCTCTCTCTCTCTCTCTCTCTCTCTCTATATATATATATATATATATATATATATCTCGCTCTTTCTCTCTTTCTGTGTCTATCTCTCTCTCTCTCTCTCTCTCTCTCTCTCTATATATATATATGCATATATATCGCTCTTTCTCTCTTTCTGTGTCTATCTCTATCTCTCTCTCTCTTTATCCCCACACCCTCCTCTCTCATTGTGTATCCATCTATCTCTCTGCCTCTCTCTCCCTCTCTCTCTCTATTTTGTTCTCTCTTTTTCCCTCATTCTTGTCTTTTACCTCTTCTTTTCTTTAATCTTTTGGTAATCTTCAAAGGGCTATGCAGCCTACCACATTAATCATACCTTTTCATTATTATACTTTCAGAATTCCCTAGTACCCATTCCGATCCCTGTATTCATTGTATTAGCAACTGGCAAAACTATGAAGTAAAGAATAATAAAGACAAGTATGTCTCGCTGTGACAAAGATTTTATCGATCCATCAGCAATTTTTTTCAACTTCTAGTTTGTTATTTTCGAACAGCGCATGTTGTTGTTGTACTATGGTGTATGCCAGTGCGTTTGGTTATCTTCATCTATAGGCACATGACTTTCCCCCTCCTTCTTTCAATATTTCTTTCTGTGAATTTACACTCTCAATAACTCCTGTTCCATCTCTTTCTCTCATGCTCTCAACTGTATACGAGTGTCTCTCTCTCTTTATTATTCTTCTTACTCCTTACTTTCTCTCCTTTCCACTCCCTATTTACCTGCATCTATTAACCCTAATAAGGCCGGGGGGCCCATTATGCCCCCCCCCCCCTCCACGATTTTTCCGATTGCTCGGGAACGCATATTGATGGCGCCCCGCCGCTCGCTGACTTTTTTCTTTCGAGTCTTGCGCAACTTTTAAAATATTTTTTTTTGAAAATCGGACCTACGGTTACAAGGTCACGTGACCTTTTGTCTTTGCATGTCAGCCCGAAAATCGCTCATTTTCGTCATTTGTGTACAAAACATATGGAAAAGTCATTTTTCCTAAAAACAGATCAAACATGGGTTATTAGGTCTTGTTTAAAGTTTAGGTGGTTGTTTTGGGAGTCTAAATAGTTGAATTGTAGTAAGAAATGAAATAAAACAACAAAAACAATGAAATACATAAGTTAAAAAACAATGAAATACATAAGAAATTGTCAAAACAAGGGATAACATATTAAGGAATAAGCTGGCTCTTCCAATTTTTTTGTCGTATTATTATTCAGAATGGTCTTATGAATATATGTAGTGAAAAAGAATGCTTAAATATAAATAATATATGATTTAATGGGTAAAAATGTGATTTTTATGACTTTATTTGCATAATTTACCATAAATATGCAAATGAGTGAATTTTTCAAAAAAAATTGAAATTATCATATTATTCTTTACACTTCACTTGACATGCGTGCAAATTTTCGCGGCCGAGATCTTAACGGGGGGGGGGGGGGGGCATAATGCCCCACCCCCCCCCCCCTGGCCATACTAAGACCTCAAATAGCCCGGCCTTTTTAGGGTTAATCTACCTATCTTCCCTTATATATCACTTTATCTATACATCCATCTAGCTACTGACCTATCTACAGGCATCTATCGATCAATCAATCAATCCATCTATCTTTCTTTCTTTCAGTCTACTATACTGCATTGCATTCTTTCTCCCTCCCTACCTCGCCTTTCCCCTCTCAATAATCTGTCATGCCCCCTCTCTCTATTTCCTCATCTCTTATTTCTTTCTCTCTTCCTTCCCTCTCTCTTCCTTCTCTCTCTCTCTCTCACTCTCTCTAATTCTTTCTCCCTCCCTACCTCGCCTTTCCCCTCTCAATAATCTGTCATGCCCCCTCTCTCTATTTCCTCATCTCTTATTTCTTTCTCTCTTCCTTCCCTCTCTCTTCCTTCTCTCTCTCTCTCTCACTCTCTCTAATTCTTTCTCCCTCCCTACCTCGCCTTTCCCCTCTCAATAATCTGTCATGCCCCCTCTCTCTATTTCCTCATCTCTTATTTCTTTCTCTCTTCCTTCCCTCTCTCTTCCTTCTCTCTCTCTCTCTCACTCTCTCTAATTCTTTCTCCCTCCCTACCTCGCCTTTCCCCTCTCAATAATCTGTCATGCCCCCTCTCTCTATTTCCTCATCTCTTATTTCTTTCTCTCTTCCTTCCCTCTCTCTTCCTTCTCTCTCTCTCTCTCACTCTCTCTAATTCTTTCTCCCTCCCTACCTCGCCTTTCCCCTCTCAATAATCTGTCATGCCCCCTCTCTCTATTTCCTCATCTCTTATTTCTTTCTCTCTTCCTTCCCTCTCTCTTCCTTCTCTCTCTCTCTCTCACTCTCTCTAATTCTTTCTCCCTCCCTACCTCGCCTTTCCCCTCTCAATAATCTGTCATGCCCCCTCTCTCTATTTCCTCATCTCTTCTTTCTTTCTCTCTTCCTCTCTCTCTCTTCCTTCTCTCTCTCTCTCTCTCTCTCTCTCTCTCTCTCTCTCTCTCTCTCTCACTCTCTCTCTCTCTCTCTCTCTCTCCTATATCTTTCCTTTACTCATCTTTTATCTTACCAACACGAAAACACACAAGTAAAACAAGGTTTACAGCGGTGGTATATGCACGAGGTCAATAGGAATATATTTGAAGGCTATCAAACCCATTTTTTTGGAGACATACAAAATATAAATACATTGCCTTCTGAATGGATGTTTGATAGACTTTGCAATATTCACAAAAATAAATAGAAGAAAGGGAAAAGGTTGGATTAAAAATGAAATAAGAATAAAAAGAAAAATGAAACACGATACAAAACAAGATACCATAATCATGACGATTATCGGTTACTTATTTAAATAAATAAGAATTACTGGTCTGACATCTAACTTTTAAAGACATGTTTTCAACATTTTCAGAGGCAGTTGCTAAACATACCTCGTAAGATATTGACAAATAAGTTTTTAGGGATTTAAACATGTATGGCAATTTTGAGGGTATTTAATGGACCCGGTGAAGATTTCTGAATAGTGAATCATTATGTAGCAAATTAGGATCCTATTATAAATTTCCATATTTTGATGAGTAGAATAACAAGATGAGAGAAAAATCTGGAATTAAACAATTACAGTCAAGAGCACCAAAAATTAAATTGTCTGTTAGGAGCCAGAAGGGTGTTAACGCATATACTTTAACACAGAGTTAATGTCTTTCTGCATGGCTCTAATTTGCAATCATAGTACATGCTACTAGGTTGTAATCTCAATGTTCCATACAGTGTTTATTTTTTCTACTTTTTTTTCATTATAACCTACATGTATATTCTAACCAATTCGCAAGGCAAATATTTCATACCATATTCTGTGTAAATCTGGTTGGTTTATAAGTATCTGTGTAAATCTGGTTGGTTTATAAGTATCTGTTTTTAGTCATTACTAAAATGAAATGATTTTTTTCAGGGACATAATATTGAATGTTATCATTATGAATATTCATAACTTATAATAAATAGGCAATTAATCTGGAATAATATTCTTTGTAAATCGGGTTGGATTATAAAAATCTGTTCTTAGTCATTACTAGAATGAAATAATATTTTCAGTGACATAATATTGAATGTTATCACTATGAATATTCATAACTAATCATAAATAGGCCATTAATCTGGATTAATTACTATATTGTCAGCACACTCTTCAAGTGTTAATACTCATTGACTACTATCCAACCACATACTTTTGTTCTATCAAGCTCTCATAAATAGTTAATGCCAGCAATTATTTTTCTTTAGAAGCGATAAACGCAATTTGAACATTGATCAAGCTTCAAATTTTCATGAATCTTGACCACTAGGTGCACAGAACTTATTGTTTGTATTACAGTGGTGAATTTTCTCATTCCTTACGAGTCGCACCAGTGCTGTAGTACAAGAACCAATTCTGGCAAGCAGTGGAAAAAAAGAACATTCACCAAATTCTGACGGTTCTTATGATGCCTCATGTATCGACATGCAGGAGGAAACTATGCACGACTGGGACAAAACAATGCTCTATTAAAACAAGAAAAAGAAAACTACCACAAAGATATCATAAACACATATTCCTGAAATGGCGACTTCATAAATTAAAAAAATATGAGAAGAGTTTTTGTACAAGAAAATACAAAAATTTATATGCAAGATATACAAGATTTTATTGTATTATTATGTACAGAATTCCACTACATATTCACAGTCAGGTTCCATCGACCTGAAGAAACTGAATATCTTATTAAACAACATTATAAAGATATCACTATTTATGATTTCTGGTCATAAATACTACAGTGCACAAAGAAAAATCATGTACATCCTCTTTTGACTTGTATGATCAAATCATTTGTAAATAAATAAAAGATTAACATAAATTAACATCAAAATCAATTCAAACTTTGAACTCTGGATGCAAAATACTAATTTTGTCTGCAGAGAGTAATGCCCTTCATGCTCTACAGAAGAGGTTTGCAACATTCCTAATGGTTTTGATATGAAAAATGAGTAGATCTAAACATGTAATGCATACATTCCTTTCATAATGATTCTTTTCAATGTGTTTTATCTGTTGTGCTCTGGCCATTTAATCATATTCATTTGTATGTACAGCGGAACCTCATTATAACAGGGTCATTCGGACCACAGAATTTACCATTATATCAGGGTTAAACAAAAAAAAGGGTATATAGAGCTGGAACCAGCAAAATCACCTTGTTATAACAGATACAGTCAAACCTGCTTTAGTGACCACCTGTCTATGAAGACCACCTGTCTACAACAAGGACGTTTTTTGTTTCCCTTGATAATGGTTTCTCATTGAAACATGTACTAAAGGAACCTGTCTACAAAGACCCCTGTTTGTGTTTCCCTTGGGCGGTCGCTATAGACAGGTTTGACTGTACCTTGTTAAATCAGAGCTCTCTTTATAATGAGGTTCCACTGTACTCCATGCAGATGGATGTTATATTCACCGCTCCATGAAAACTTGATAAAATTCTCTTTATCACCCTATTGCAGCTGAAACATTTAACAGCCCATCAAATCCAAATTTAACATAACAGACATAAAGCAACCCCCCCCCCTCCCTTCTTGCATAATCATTTACACTATTTCCTCCATCTTCTCATAATGTTTAGAGATCTATCTATCAATCTGTAAACCAAATCAAACTGTTCATGAACCAGGGTGGAATTTAATAGTTATATTTTCAATATTACATATTTTCATAGCACAAAACTGAAAAACAATGATATCATGAACATGACTGCAACGTTAAAGAAAATAGGTAATATAATTTTGTTTTAATCTAACTTCATCTAAGACCAAATAAAAATGAAATGGCAAATGGTATTTATTGTAGGGGGAAAAAGAATGAATAAGAAAAGAAAACAGCTAGAAAACACAGACAAAAAGCAACAACAAAATACAAGGATTTAAAAAGGGATAGAAAGGTGAGAAAGAGATAGACATATAGTGTATAGATAAATGGATACAGATTCAACATACATAGGTATGTAGGTAGAAGGAGAGATATATAGATAGATAGATAGATAGATAGAAAGATGGATAGATAGATAGATTATATAGAAAGAGAGAGAGAGAGAGAGAGAGAGAGAGAGATGTAACAGAAGTTATAGAAGGTAGCATCATTTGGGAAATACATTTTTTATGAGGGAGGTAGGAAAAAAACACCTAAATTACAAGGTAGAAACCTTACTTTTATGATACATATCTGCATATTTGTGGAATTTCTGGACACACCACCCAAATCATATTCTTAACTAAAAAGAGTCAATAAATATGGATACACAACCTACTGCAATCATCAAAAGATATTGTCAAATGGCAATAAATAATAAAATCCCTCCATTTGGTCTGCATGCAATATGTTCATAGCATTGGCATCCATCCATTAGAGAGTTGAGTTAGTGAAATTTCATGATGATGAATTTCTGAAGATAGTGGCCTGAAGAGGTGATTCTCTGAAATGATGTATAACAATCACGATACAATATTGCCAGTGTCTAGCAAGAATGCTGGAAATCCCATGTCCTATGCATCCATCGTTGTAACTTCTGCAAGCTCACGTAGAAAGACTTGTAATATATCTCTTTCGGGATGGAAATGATAGTCTTGTACGCCTCTCCTCCAAGATGAATTCCTAGTTCTGGGGGGCGTTTCACAAAACTTGTCATCAGTGACAAATGACAATTTTTTGTTACAAGCTACTGAAATCCTTGCTCCTGATTGGTTATCATCAGATTTGTCACTGATTCTAGTCATTTGTCATTGAAAAAAGGCTTTGTGAAATGGGTCCCTGGAGGAAGAGTCACTTGCACGATCCTGTAGCATGCCATGGCAGCTTGCAGATGCTGATGATCATCCACCGGCTTGGCGCAACAACACAACCTGTTGTCAAAGGAGATGTTCCTCTCACCCTCATCAAAGCACTTTAGAGGGCGATTTAGATGACGATTCAACTACTTCTTCTGAACAGAGTTGTAATCATGAAGTGTCACGATGTTAGCACGCCAAGTTTATTTTGCAGAATGTAGATCATTCAGCATCTTGTCATGATGGAACTGTTCTCACGAAAGATCTTCCTCCTCATGATGTTTTTGATGACGTTTTGACTGACGTTTTGACCGACTTCTCCTTCAGCTTCTACACAGAGTTGCATTCACACGGCGGTCATAAACACCACGGCAAGATTGATTTCACAGAATCTCTGGATTTCTTTCATCATCATCGCACTACTGCTTATCCTCACGAGGATCACGAGTCAATACTCGCATCTAACCGATCAACCTGATCGCAAACGTCCATGAGCGCGCGATCGAGATCGTCCATGTCCGAAGGAATCGAGTGACTGTACACACCGTTATCCACACCCCCTATCGTCGAGGTCGAGGAAGCATCGCTGCCAGTTCTACGCGACCTTCGACCTCCATGATAGAAGCTGTATTGGTCCTGTAAACTGTTCCTCTCTAGAAAGCTCTCAAAGTAGTCCATGTCCTTTTCGGGGATGTACGGTCTCATGTCTGTAGAGGAAGCAAAAATGAAGGAAAATTGTTTAGAAAAGAGTTGAAAATACTTGAAAAATAGTTGTTTAAATAGTTTAAGATTAAACTGGAAAGTGAATGGTAAAGCAATGACATGATGCATGACACTTGCTCTGGGTTTTAAGATCCAACATTACAACACTTATCTAACCCATATCCCAACCAAGAACCTCACCTAAAACCCTAATCACAACCCTAACCCTTAAGTTTTGACGAAACAAATCCTGAAGCAAAGGTAACTGCAGAATATATTGCACCACAGGCATGATGGGTCAGTCAGTAAAAGTACTGGGGGGTGATTCACAAAGATCATAAGTTGAACTTATCTTTAAGCTGGACTTAACAATTATGGAAAGCTGTTAGCAATCTTAGCATCTTTGAAAATATTTTGTAAAAGTTATTTAAAAGGCATAAAATGTTGATTAAAATCATTCATATTTTCTAACATCAAGGATATTTCATGTTCTTGCTTTTGAATATATTTTATTTTAACGCTACAAATGGCTCTCCATAATGTTTAGAGTTAAGTTCAACTTAGGACTTTGTGAAACACCCCCTGGTCTTGGAATGGAGCAACAAGGTATTACATGAAGTCGGTGTCCTTTGTTTTAGAGCTAATTTTTGTTTGAGAGCAATGACATGTGCATGTGCAAAGTCCCTCTGACAGGACTTTAGTGTGTAGGACCTCTGGTTGCCAGCCTGTAATCATATACATGCAGTCAAACCTGTCTACAAAGTTGACTAAGGACAAACAAAATCAAAGTGGCTGCTGGAGGCAGGTGGCCTCTTGTTAAATTGTATGTACATGTACTGCAACACATTTTTTGAATGAAGGCTCCTTTTCGATATGATGCGCAAAATAGCAGTAATTTTATGATGCATACATGTACAGTGTAAAATATTTCATAATTCTGTATCTTATAACACAGAGCACATTGGTTACACCCAGGACCTTGCTGCATGGAGATACCATTAATTCACTCTTTTAAAATATTTGTTAAAGGTACAATGCCCCATTTGCAGGCCAAAAAAATGAAAAAGTTAAATTCCAACTGCATTTGAAAGATAATACTAATTTAGAACTTCCCTAAAAAAGGTGGGGCTTGAAAATGTCTTCAAGTGGGAAAATAACGACTATTAGTTGTCAAATTGACTTTAGGGTTATAGAGCCCAAAAGTAATAGTCTTGATTTTCAGACAATTGTACCGAATGGTAATACGTTTTATGCTGCGCAAAGATTCAATCAGTTTAATCTTGGCCATCACAAGAAGTGGGTTATTGATGTAGACAAATGCTCATATACCCCTTACAGCTCTTTTCATGTATGCTATTACCAAAGAAGAATAAAAGCCAGTCAGTCACTCAATAGTGTCTGACAGTGAAGTCTAGCAAGTAAACAGGTTTCCTTGCATAATTTGAATATGAGGACACTGCTAACGTTTAAATTTCACAGATAGGACATACATGACATATTCATAATTCCTGCAAAGTTCTACAGAATTTGAGGTTGGCTGCAAAAGGGACATAGTACCTTTAATGTCCATAATGTGGTCATCACGACGGGATCGACTGCCCATACTTTCTCATACAAATAGCTGGTCAAACAACGTTAATAATCATTTTTTTCAAATCATTATCAAAGTACTTCCGAATTCGAAGGACATCTTCGCTTGAATTTGGTCCCTAAGATCACCACCGTCACCATCATCATCATTTCCTTTTGCTTAAGTCAAGGAACCCTCATCAGGAAACATACATGTACATATCGTTTTCTTAGACACAGACAGAATTATATCTTTGTCTCACCAAAGCAACTCTTCACCAACTGGAAAACCAACCGATCGTTGGCCATTGGAAGCAACTTGATTTTTTGTACTGTCTGTTAGTGGTCAGCCATGGTTTCACAAAACCATTTTAAGTACATGTTCAATTATAACCCATTGAAATGCATGTTAACTATAACACACTTGCATCAATAGGATGTCAGTAAATTCGTCCCTATGACGGTTGTGTGGAACTATGCCCTAGTGTCTGTGTCATTGGTTTGACTGGGGTATTAGAGTTATAAATAATTATTCAAAAGTTTTTTAGTTGTTCAACCGATTCAAGTTAGGGTTCCGTAGACAAGTTTTTTTTTTTTTAGCTATCCTTTTTTTCTTCTTCATCATAAATCTTCATCAAAGTTAGAGCAATTAAAGTATATATCTTTAGCATTCCGTGGGATGGATATACTTTCACATTATACATGCATCTGATATTTGCACATATTATTGTCCTTAACTACTATTAGAAGTAATGGCACATCATGAGTAGTAGTTATATTAGTAAAAGTGTAATGATAATTTATTATTACACAGTAAGAGTAAGAGTAGCAAAAGCAGTAGAAGTAGAAGAAGTAGTAGTAGTAGTAGTAGTAGTAGTTGTAGTAGAAGTAGAAGAAGTAGTAGTAATAGTAGTAGAAGTAGTAGTAGTAGTAGTAGTAGTAGTTGTAGTAGAAGTAGAAGAAGTAGTAGTAATAGTAGTAGTAGTAGTAGTAGTAGTAGTAGTAGTAGTAGTAGTAGTAGTAGTTGTAGTAGAAGTAGAAGAAGTAGTAGTAATAGTAGTAGTAGTAGTAGTAGTAGTAGTAGTAGTAGTAGTAGTAGTAGTAGACGCAGTAGCAGTAGCGTTAGTGGTAGTGGTAGTGGTAGTGGTAGTGGTAGTAGTCGTAGCCGTAGCTATAGTAGTGGTAGTTGTAGCTGTAGCTATAGTAGTGGCAGCAGCAGCAGCAGCAGTTGTAGTAGTAATACTATTAATATCATAATCATGTTGAGGTTATTTTTCAGTATCATTAGTCATTGTTATTTTTGGTGATGATATTAACATAATTATCATAATCATCATTATTAATTTAAAAGACACACACCTTTTTGAAGCACAAATATCATGAGCCTATACTAGCGTCTAAGTGATTAACTTGGTCACAAATTTCCTTAAGCGCAAGGTCTAGGTCGTCCAAGTATTCTTCCTGAAAATTAAGCCTATCCGTGAAGGCATCAAAGAAATCCATGTCTTTTTCAGGGATGTACAATCTCAAGCCTGTTAATGAGAAACCGAACGAAAGAGAGAAGAAAATGATCTTTACACAGAGGTCTGCAAAGAAACTTTGTATGCAGATACTGTAAGTAGCAGGCAAAGAGAGAGCGAGAGAGAGAGAGAAGAAAAAAAAGGTCTTCATACAGCTCAGAGGTCTGCAAAGAACTCCATGTCTTTTTCAGGGATGTGCAAGCCTGTTGATGAGAAACCGAACGAGAGAAGAAGAAAATGGTCTTTATAGAGAGGTCTGCAAAGAAACTTTGTATGCAGGCAAAGAGAGAGAGAGAGAGAGAGAGAGAGAGAGAGAAAGGTCTTTATACAGAGGTCTGCAGAGAAAATGAAGAAAAGAAGCTGAAGAGAACAAACGGTCTTTAAGCATAGGTCGACACGGAAATAAAAGATTATGAAATGGTCTTTATATACAGGTCTGCAGAGGAAAAGGAAGAACAGAAAATAGTTTGAGATCATGTACACAATCTGCATATATATATCTGTACAAATGAAAAAGTAGTCAGATAAAATATTTAAATGAGGGGTTTAATTTTCCAGGTTGAGTTCCAAATTTGTCATGACTTGTTTTTCATTTTGAGCAAACGATCTCAAACACTGGGAGTTACAGCAAAATCTCCTCAGAAAGGCTCAACACCAATACTTTTCATTGCGGTCCAGATACAAAATATGTTGAAATGTGGGGGGTCCGAACCTATATTTAGGGTGCCTGTGTTTCCTGGGCGTCTGTTAGTGTTGAGCCATTTCAGTGAAGTGGGCAGCATCAACCCCCCAAATTTTCAAATTGTCACCAGTGTTTGATATTTTCTTCCTTCATAATATTTCAAACTGATAAATCATAAATTGTGATGTTAGCTGTCATTCAATAATGTATGTATATATAAAGATGCAGAATACAAAAATGACATGTGGTTGAAAATCTGTCTCATACAATTTTCTATTTCTAATTTGTGAATCGTGATACTAAAAATGGATATGTGATAATGATTTGTGGAGATAGATGTAATTAAATAATGTTTGATCATGATAAACTATAAACTGATGAAAGGTACAGGCAATCTACTTTAACACATGTTCTGTATGATGTTAATTATGATAATGGTTTGTAATTTTGGCATCAAATATGAAAAGGTTAAACAATTTTGAAAGAATTATGTTTTCATCTTAGATTCTCATGCAAAACATTGACATTCTTCTTCACTTTCAGTTTACTTTATGCATAAACCTTTTTCAACGTTTCTGTGTGAATCACAGTGTAAAATGTATCAAAAAATTTGGGGGGGGGGGTGGGGTGCGGGGCACAGGTCTCATTAGTTTGAAAATAATAGTCCAAACTAAGGCTGTTGATTAATAGATGGAAGGTATGAGAGGGAGTTGTGTCATCTCCTTTTCCCTTCTTCCTTTATTCTTTCTCTTGCTTCTCAGATTTCTTTTCTTTCTTCGTGTTCTTTTTTTCCTCAAGCCATTTGATTGGGGGATGGGAGGAGGGGGAAGGGGATGCCCCTTTAGCTTTTTTACTGGCTGTGTTAACCTAATCATAAAGACGAAATTTACATCTAGTTAATATACCGTACTTTTGACCTTTTTTTAACATTTGAGGAGGAGATAACAAAATAATTTAATGCACAAGGGTTGTCTTTGGCATAAAGGCATTTTAATCACATGTGTAAAGCATTACATCTCGGTGTTAGCCAAGAACACTAGGCCTGTCATCATTAGCTTGAGTTGCCAAATTATCCGCTATTTTAACTATCCGATCACAAATTAGTCAGTTAATTTGTGTCTTCATCAGCCCGCAGCTCCAATTAGCGGGACATTTGGTCCAGAAAAAACCCTGAGAAATATCCCGCTATTTGGGAAATAGTGGCTAATTTGCGCCTGTCCAAGCTAGTTTGTGA